GCTGTTCAAGATGTATTGTATCCCCAAAGACTGCTTCCAGTAGTGTGGATCAAAGTAGTACCTATGAACACCCTAACTACCCAGAGTAATTTCTGAAAAATTAAACATGCTATGTTTGCTTGCATGCTGATTGGGGCACTCTGGTTGCTGATAGCAATCAGTATGAACTTCCCTACTGCTGATGTAATGATGATGAATGCTGTGACACTGCTATTTCAGACAGCTCTTCTCAGCGGATGCAAACCACTTGTTAATGAATTGAATACAACTACAGCAGCATCGAATGAAACAGGGGAAGGATTTATTTATTTTTTCTTTTAAAACCCAACACATTAAAAGATACCCCCTTAAAAAATATAAGCAATAAAGGCAGAAGAAGGTTTACGTTTGTAAGAAACAAAAACCAGTCTAACATACAAATTGAGAATTTTAGATGCTGATTCCTGCCCAAGCGGTTAGACTGAAGCAATTAGTCTTATTGAAGTCAGTGAGCCTATTCCTATGAATAAATATTTGCATGATCCGGTCTTCAAAACTAACATATGCAATACAAATACAATGATTTAAAAAGTAACTCAGAAAGGAAAAGGAGCACAGAGCTGAAGATCTCTTGGAATACCAAAGTGTATGTTCAGAAAGGGTCATGTTTCCTGCTCTTCCAGGCAGAGGGGCTGCTCTATTTGTTTTGGTTAGTTGGCACTGTGAGTAAATGAACAAAAAGATTTTTTTTCTCCCCACTATATTAATATGATTATGTTTACTACTGTGAGGCCCAATTTTATGACCAACATACCTAAGGACCAGAAATTATATAATTTCAAATTGCTTGAAAGAATTTTTTTGTTCAAAATACATTTCCAACATATCGTCATTTGTTGACACTCCTTTTAAGAGAAATGGGTTTCCTCATTTAACTAGTTCATACCAGTAGCTTGTTCCTAAATTTCCTCCAATTTAATATGCAATTGGTGAAAGTTTACATTTATGATTTAAAAAGAAGAGATACACCTGCAGGCAGGTTGCTGTTTTGAGAAGGATTAGGTTTAAAATGGGGATCTGGAATTAATTGTGCAGTGGGTTCAGGCTTTAGGGAAATTACAAAAGGTTCAAGCATGGTTGAATGGGAAAAAAACCATGAATGTTTGCTTTCAGGAAGGAATGTTTATCCCTCTATTTACCTATGAAAGTTCAGGCTTTCGCCCCTATACTGTTATAGCATTTTCTTGCCATTCATATGCACATGGAGATGCTGGATAGCCGACAGAAACTAGCTTTCTGGTTTTTTTGAAAGCAGAGCTCCTTTCTGCGGAATAGATACATATTGTCTCAGGCCTGGGGGCAGGAACAGGGAAGTCGCTGACCCACATGCTGGGGAGAGCTATGTACACCATAATATAAGCCACTTTGTATTTTAATGTGAAGATGATGTCAGGCTGGCTCATTTTCAGAATGCTTTTTGATAGGGATTAGCAGCCAGTGGAAAGAAATCTTCACGTTGTCCTGGACGTTTTTTTTGATAGACTGCAATTCTCGTATTTCAGTACAATTTCTGAGAGAAAATAAAAATCACAGCCAAAATTAAGGAGAATGATTCTAGAAGACATGCGTGTCTGGTTTGTGTTTTCAACTTGGGCTTAAGTTCGCCTTCAGGAAAAAAAAGATTTTTGGGGCACCATATTGATTTCCAGTTGAGCGCTTCCCTGTTGGGCATGTGTGGAAAAACATACCAAAACACGTACCACTAATTACAAGTCGTGCCATCTCTCCTGGCTTTCCTTACTTTCCCAGCCATGCATAGCACCATGTAGTTCATCCAGCACTGGAGTGTAACTGGAGCTGCTGGAATTCTTGCAGACGCCCTTGCCACACGTGCGTGGGTTGGGAGTGGAGGAGGGAAGGCACGGGAGGAAACGTCTGCAGCGCTGGGGCCATTGGCTCGTGCTGCAGGGTGTAGAGCAGAGTAAGAAAGTTCACTCTTGCAGTATTCCCTCTTCCATGCTGACATGAATAAAAGCAGCCTTCTGGGTGTAAACTAAGCAGACATGAACCAGAACAGGTACCAAGAGCAGATGTTTATATTAGCTCATGGCCAATTCTGCAGTTTTCTGACCAAAAATTCACTTTAAGCTGCTACTTTAGGCCTTTGTTCCGTACCATTGTCCACGCTAGGTAGCATGAACGAGGAAAGTGATAGAGTGGTGGGAAATGTGGAATTATATCTGCTAGTCTTCCCTCCGTTAAAGAAAACTCCAAAGTACCAGAAAAATCTCATTGGTAGGCTGTTGGGGAAAGAAAAAACATAGCAAAGAGAATGGATGGATGCCAGTTTCAGCAGACACATGTTGCTCTTGAATTGCAGATGATCCAAGGATGCTTTTTAGGAGATGAAAGCTGTGTTAACTCTTACAGCACCTTCATCTCCTTCCTTTTCTGAGCAGAGGTAGGATCGGATTGTAATGGAGGTCCCGTCCTGCCATGGTGGAGAGGGGAAGGAGGTGGAGGTAAGTGATGGCTCCTTGCTCTTATCTGCACAGCCATCTGTGTGGCAAGAGGCGGTGGAACCGCTGTAGGTACCTGTCATCATTTTCGTGACCTTTGCCACTCCACTGGCCTTGTGAAACTGGGGGGCAGAGCATGTGGTTTCTTCCTTTCTAATGGAGTGGGAAGCATAATTGTTATCTTTCATGTCTTTTCGCCAAAAGAAACAGGCTTGTGAACTGAGGACAGAAGAAAATGGGGGACAAGTTCTGCAGCTTCCCCCTCCAAGCTCTCCAAGTCAAACTCTTTGATGTAAATGAAGATGCTGCCTGAACAGCAGACTTGGCCCTTAGAAGGCAAAACAGAAGAAAAATAACCACTACTGAAAATGTATAGCTTTTTAAATTCCTTCAGAGACAGCATAGGAAGTTATTCTTTTTAGAGAATAATAAATAACTCAAAGGAGGGTAGTCACAAGAGGGTATGCTGAAGGACTCACTCACACAGTGGCCAGAGGCTGGGTAGAGACAGATTTTGGTGTTACGTGGCCAGGGCTGTGCAGAGAAAACAAGCATGTTCTTGTCAGTGTGGGGTGAACAGCTTGGCAGCTGTGCCCCCAGTTTCTGCCAATGCAAGGGACTGAACAGCCTGATATACATGATAAGTGACCAAAGCTGTCGATGCTCTTGCATGAGGTGTGTGAGGGGGAAGGAGGAGAAAGCACATGAGAAATTTGGAAAGGTGCAGTTTGCAAAGCTCGTATGAGATCTCTCCTCAAGGAGATTAGTGCATTGCTGGGTACAGGTGAGGGCTGTTGCAAGTTGTGTATTGTTAGATCTCTCCTGCTTCCTATTTGAAGACACCTGGCATTCCCCTTTGTGTTCTGGTAGGAAGTCGTTTCACACATCACAATAATATTTATAGCACTTTCACAGATAGATCTTGAAAGTGCTGTTAGAAGTACTCTTCCACTGCATGCAGAGCTTTGTTATTCCTGTTTTTAGCAAGAACTAAACTCGAGGGAAGAAAAACACTTTGCCAAAGGTTAGACCACTAGGTCAATGGCAGAGTGTCTCTGATATCTAGTCCAATTCCCTGGCTGTGCTGCCTAGCTAAATAATGATTCATTTAGTGATTGGGCTCTTCTTTGATCCCTACTGTATAACAATGAGGCTTTGGAGTGTTTTATTGTGCTATTAAAAAGAACTCCTACTAGGGAGGTGGGAAGGGGAAGGTTTACTAGACAGCTGTGTTTGTGATGAATTGGCTTTGTAGCCTTTTTTGGGGGTTTGTTTTATTTATTTTTTTTTGACTGTCAGAATTGGGGAAACAGGTTGCTAATGTAATTATACTTCATTATAGTTTACTTTGTGGCTTGTTTTGGAGCCTTTGGTTTTTTTATTTAATTCAAATGTTGTTGCAGAACAGTGCAACTTCCTCCCGTTTCAGATCCCTTTAGCTAATGACTGCAGTGCTGCTCAAAGCTGAAAACACTCTATTTTTTATTACTTTTTGTTGTTGCATAGGATCATGTTCAAACTACCGAAGTACCCAGGTACTGTGGTTCTAAGCGTGGTGTGTGCTGAATATTGGATGATTTGTGTAAAGCTTACTTGCTTTACAGACTGGCGTGCGTCAAGTTAAGCTGCAGACCAGTGCTTGCAAAAGCTTGTGTCCTTCACAGCCCAAGATCCCTGCAGTCTCAGGGCCTGGTGTGGATATACTGCTGCGCAAGCAGTGTTAACACTTTCAGAAGCTTGTGGGCTTCTTGGGTTTATGTCAGGAATGTAAAAGCTCTGAGAATATGGAGAAGTGTTCTGCGGGGTATAAAATTAATGTATCACTGGAGATGACACTGAGAACAGCCAGGAAAGGCAGAGTAGCCAGCCACACACCTTTGCGGAGTTTTCCATTTTCAGCGTTTTTGTGCAAAAGAAAGTGATCTCATTATCTGCCACCAGCAATAATATTTGCCTTTCCCTGTGGTTTTCAGGGTGCTGCTCCAATGCACTTTTGTTTGAGTTAGATTTCTGAACAAACAAAGTGAGAGATGTTTACAGAAGTAGGACAAGGTGTAGAGCTAGCCAGGATAATTCTTGCTGCAGTGTATTCAGGTAGTGTGAATGTTGAAATTTAAATATTTGGCTTCTATAGTCAACATGAAGGTCTGTCTTGATTTCTTTTGCATTGTTCCAGAGTGCTCTGGACGTAGGAGAAAAATACTGGATTTTTTCACCTGGGTGCATTAAAACCCAACAGGCTTGAAAAAAATGGATCTACCCATTAAGCAGCATAGTGGTTTGTGATGCTGAGGCTGTTTAAAGGCAAACATGCTTATTTTTGGTGTTAGTGTTTCCTTAAATTCCTCAGGAATTCATGCATGCAAACATGATTTGATGGGCATCCAGAAATGGCCTGTGGACTGCTAGTTCAATTGTGCTGCAGGCTCTTCTTCAGGTGAGAGGTGTGAGAGGTTTTGGGCTAAGCTTTCGTATAGTATTTAAAGTTTATGACTCTCTTGTTTCATTCAGGTATTAGTACAAGGAGAGCTGAAGTAATGAGAAGTCATCATGGAGGCGCAGTCCCATAGCTCTACCACGACGGAGAAGAAAAAAGTGGAGAATTCCATCGTGAAATGCTCCAGTCGAACAGATGTCAGTGAGAAAGCTGTTGCCTCCAGCACAACTTCCAATGGTGAGTAACAGCAGGGATTTACTAGCAGCCAAACCTACAGTAATTTTATGTTCACTGCATTCCTTGTGAATTGAGCATTTGCACCTGGATCAGTATTTGTTCTAAGGAAAGGCTAAAGAAAATGAAGGGGGGGTGGTGGTGGTGGAAAGTGGTAGGATACAATAAGGCCTGTTTTGGCATCAGGCGTAGTCTTTTTCTTCCAGATGTTCTAATTTGAGATGTAAATACGCTAAGTTATTTATTATAGGAAGTTCCTGTTTTTGGCCTTTTGGAAATTGTCTTGATTAGCCTGGCAGGGCTTACGAGCGCTTTGCATTTGGCCATTGAAATCTCTTACACTAGTTAGATAATTAGTTATTACAAAAGAGAGAGAAGTAGCTCTGTCAAAATTAATGGCAAAGGTTTTTTTCTTCTCTTCTTTTACAAATAAACTTGCTCCTCGCAAAGGGCTACCCCCACCTCCCCGAAGTACTTTAATGGCCAGGGACAAAACAGCAAGCTAAGAGTGTATACTCCCGTGAATTCATTTCAAAGTTGTGAATGTACAGCTTGTAGATTTGCAAAACTGGAGTAGTTTGCTTAATTCTCCCCAGAGATTACCTCACTTGACAATTTTACATATTCTCTGCCTCTCTGGAGAGTGTGTAGTCCCAGCCCTGGCCCTTTCATTGTTCAGTGTAAGAGGGCTGAGTGTACTGGTCCCTACTAATGCAAAACTCCTTTGCATTAGGAAAGAAAATTGCTTGAAAAGGTGTGCGCAGAGTTTAGACCTGTGGATTTTGGATAGCTGCAGATCAGCTTGGTTTTGCAAATCAGTCTAATAATGGCTAAAACCAGAAGATGTCTTTCTGCATATTTTGGAGTCCTGGTGTATTCCTGGCAAAACGATTTCTGTTCACCCTTTCTGCTTCCATCACGCTCACTCATCTGGGCTTGTGGTCCAGGTCAGGTTCTCACTTTGATATCTTGAAGAAAGGTTTCTGCTTTCTCAAAGAAACCTGTATCTCCCACTAGACTAAAGCAGAAAATACATGAACCCTACACCCATACTAGAGGGGAATCCCTGTGGGTCAGTAAAAATGAGATGGCACATGTCCCAGTATCCTTCTGTGTGACTAGACTTCAGATTCAAAGCAAACTCAGCACCTACTGACCTGCTAGTTGGAGTTGATCCCCATGAGAGTATAGAAACTTTTGAGTAGCTGTGGAAGAAGTTGCATCAGTTTTCTAAGGCATATGAAATTAGATCCTCAGCTGGTGTAAGTCAGCACAGATCCGTTGCTATCAATAGAATTACAGTGGTTCACATTAGCTGAATTAGAGCTCCCCATTGTATTTTTTTTTTTTTTTCAATAATAGGATTTTCCACATTGGCCCAACTTTTCAAACAGATGCACACTTAAACACATATGTGTATTCTTTGATGTGTCAGGGGTTTGTACTCAAACTTGATATTGGCACATACCTCTGACTGTTTGGGCTAGCTTTAACATCATTAAACATTTAGATTTAGAGGGCTAAAAATAAAGCCTTCAAGATGTTTTTGCCTAATTCTGACACTGATTTACCCTACGGTCAAATAATTTTCTCTCTCTATTCCACCTATCAGCTTTAACGGTAATATTAGTTCTTAACTACCTGCTTCATCTAGGTGGTGTATTAGTGCATGTCAGGGGCATCAAACTCCCCAGAACTAGAATGTTTCTAAGTCTAATGAATGACTAGAAATTTTTGTCACTGGCTATTAATGGAATGAGATGCTAATGTAGTACATGTCCTGGGGCCTGAGGCTGCATTTGGTTAAGGTAATGACAGTTACTTTTGTCTTCAGTGGGTAAGGGTTGGTCTTGTTAGTCTTTGTATTTAGGGAAGTCACCAGGATCTCCAAGGTTTGGGTTTCTAATCTACTTTCATGTAAAACCAAGCAAACGACTTTCCAGAGATACAGGGTTGGGCTTCAAAGGGATAAAAAATTCCATTCCTTCCTGGATATGAAAAATTTCCTCTTAGTGTAGAGACTCCATGGAGCATGTACCAAAACAAACACTAATACAAAACTTTAGGAACCTAAACATGAGTTCTACTGTTGCAATGTTTTAAAGTTTTGCTTCTTGCAGTTGTGATTGTCATGATAATGAATTTTGGTTACAAGGACCACTTTGCATGAAAGCTGGAGCTTGCATCACATTTGCATCTTTTGTTTTTAGTGCTGGAATGAGTATTACTACAGGAACGTCGTCAGTTGATCTAGGACACCACTCCTACAAAACATGCAGCTTTTGTTGATTCAGTGCCTCTTTTTTGCAGAGGGCTGTGGTAATGTTAAATGGTTGTGATTTGCATTTGAATGCTCTGCTAAACAAGGTAAGGTACCCGTAAAAAAACAAAAAGACAGAATGATCCTTACTGTTTTTATCAGAAGACTGCTGTCACTGCAGAGCAACATCTGCCTGTCATACCAATCTCACCTCATAAGCACGTCTAATAGCAGTGCTGCTCTCCTTCTGGACAACACATTAATTAGCAAAGTTTGCAGGGTAACATGTACTTGAGTGACAGCTGTCTGAGGTGTGATGTAGAAACTCATATTTTCTCAGTAGCTCTGCTGTCTTCTGAAGGAGTCAGAACTTGGATCATAAATAGATTGAAAGCTGCTTGTTACGGGTTTTATGCAAAGCTTACAATCATGGAGAAACAAAGAAAATGCCATTATTTCAACAGCTCCCGAAAGTGAGTAACACACTCAGTAGCAGAATCTATCTTAAAATGAATATTGAGCATGGAAAACTTTTTAATCATATGATGTGCAAACTGTTTATTGAAGAGCCTGTTTATTGGTGTAAACCTAGGTGCAAAGGAAAGAAAGGGGGAAGGGTGACCTGGAAGGGCAGCTCGTGTGTTAACCCTAATTACACAATGCACGTTATGAGGCCCAGACTTGTGGGTGCCCCTTGGAAGGTACCAGCTGCACTGTAGACTCAGACAATAAGCAAGCATGGGCCATAGTTGACCTGTTAGCCACTTCTGCTGAGTTCCTGTCATTACTTAATACAAAAAAGATTTCTGCTGCACTCACCTAACTACAAACTCTGACTATATTGCTAAGATGCTTGCACTGTGTTAGATAAGGGCCTGCCAGCGTTTCCATTATAAACCCCTAATTTCAGGGATTTATAACTTAAGCCATTAAAATGTGCTCCAGGCCGAAACATGTGGGGAAGGTCTTAGTGCTGGAGCAAATTAAAACTTCTTTTAAAGTACATGTAATCAAAAAAGTAAAAAAAAATAAAAAAAATCATAATTTGTAATGACTAACAAAAGTCTTTGGTGCACTTTGATGCCCAGTGGGCGTTTGTAATTTGGGACCACTCTTGCTTTGTTTTGAATTCATTTTTGCAAGCTTTTGATTTTTTCTCCTTTGTGTTTCATTCTGTGTGTCTCAACCAAACTGCACGCAGTTTACTAGGATACATTTCTTTGCAAACTGTTCGTTTCACTGCTCCTTTGTTTGACTGCTATATTTACTGCTAGGCTAATATCCAAGGGGGAGGAAAACTGCTAAAGAAAACTGCTGATGGATATGTTAATTCACAAAAGGCTGTATAAATAAAAAGTTTGTGCTAGGGTGTAAAGTAAGCTTCCTTTTGTGTATCGTGTGTTTTGATAGCCTCAGACTGATCTGCTTTGGCAAAGTAATAAGGACAACAAATAAATACATTGTTTATGTCATGAGCATGTCACTGGTATTACACTGGAGTAATGAGGCCAGTGTCCCGGACCATGTTGCTACCACAGTGCCGTGTCGTCAGGCCTTGTCTTCTCCCACTCACATCCCTACCGCTCTTCTGGAGACAAAGCAGTAGGACCCTGTTCCATGCCATGTCAGTGCATGGAATTAGGTCATCATCCTGAAAGCTGCTGCATGCACACACAGGTTTCTATCAAGTTGTGCAAGGAATGGCTTTCCGAAGACAGGTATCCATTGATAAACTCATTAAAATTAGTTCTGTGCTGCCCTTGGAGAGCCTTCGCCTGGTATTGGGGGTCATGAAACCTGCCTTGCTAGACCTCCGTTGGGTAATACAGTACCTCCTGTAACTTCAAGTAATCTCAGGATTAAAAAGAAATCTTCAGGTGAGCACTGTAAGCGTTGCAGGAGTCTGCGCGGTGAAGTGAAGGACCTGCCTTGCTGAAGTGTGATGAACGCCGACATGGAGGCTTGTTCTCGGCTGCTCCTCCGTGCTGCTCTGCCAGCGAGCGCTGGGGCTGGCGGGGTGAGCCGTGTGCTGGCTCCTCGGCCGCCGTGCCTCACCGCCTGGCATATCGGCTGTCGCTGAGATCCGCAGCACGCCAAGTCGATACGTCAGGCTGAGCACTGCGGTGCCGGAGCAGAAAACCACGCTGGCTCCCCTGCCCGCACAGCCGTGCTGCCCATGCTGGTGCAGGACCCTCCTGCACCCTGGCACGGGGATCGCCAGCCCTCCCGAGGCCCGGCACTGCAGTAAAGTCTTGAACTCCTGTCCAGCAAGTACTCAAGCGAATGCCTCGCTTTAGGCGCCAGAATAGCTCTGATGGCCCTAATGTGGGTATTTGCACGCTTACAGTTAGGCAGACGCTTTAATGCTTTACCAGGCTGGCCACTTCGACCCTATGCTCTGCTCTCCAGGTGAATCAGATTTATTGTTAGAGTACTTCCTAAAGAGGTGTTGACCAAAAAAACTGCATGCTAACCTGACACAGCCCTCAGCTATGTGTGATTTATTTTTTTCACTTAATCTGTAGCATGGATATAATTTATTTTTCACTTTATTTTCTAAGAGGTACAGGGAATTTCTGTGAGGGCTGAATTAATACTTTTACAAGGCAAAAGTGCACTTTGCAGCATTGCTTGGAGAACGTTAGGAGATTGTAATGCTGTGTTCAACCCTTATTTACTAACTGTTTGGCTTCTGAATTCTGTCGGTGACTAAAATGCTTTCCTCTTTTGCACATTTTGGCTC